GTGAAGAGCCAGCCAGGAAGAGTGTCCCACCTGAGACATGAAGGTTCCTATGTCTTACTTGAGTTTCTATGAGATCATGAGCTCAGTAATGAGGTCTCATTTCCTGATCTGTGAAATGAGGAAATTGGATCAGATCAGGAGCTGGTCTACAGATATTGTTTTGAATAGCTCATATAGTGTATTAATTGGTAAAGTTTCACATAAAAACTTGAATTTCTTGCTTCTTTTGCAAAATCAAAAAGTTGAGTACCACTGGGCTCAAGTTCTCTCTTCTGACAAAAGATGGACCTGGACAGACACTGCCCCTGAGAGGAGCATGTAGCTTGTAGCTGGCAATGTCTTTGCCGCTGCCTTCTGTCTTACTTGCAGTAGCACTTGGGTTTGCAATCCTTAGGACCCTATTGGCTTTTACACAGGTTCACGGATATCCTGGTAAGTGTTTAACAAGTTGCTTTCCAGGGTAAAAAAGCACTATTTGTACTGTTTGCTGATTTCCATGATATAAACTCGCCCACCATGGCTGATTGCAAACTATTAACATGACAGTGACAGAGAGGTGCATAGCTCTTTGTGTAATGTAATATGATACATGATATATACTTTATAGACTAGGATAGGATAGGACAATATAGTGTAGTATTTCTACCATACAGATATAATAGATGTAAATAACCCTAAGAACAATAGATATTACTAAAATGTAGCAAAGTAATTAAGTAGTAGTAAGTTTTAAAAATAATTTAACTGTGTTTGTATAATTTAATTTTTAATAATGTTGATTTTTAGCAGCCAGATAGTAGATTTCTTGAGAATTTAACAATTGGCTCCAGAGGCTGATTTAAGCAGACTCTGCACTCTGCTCACTATTCTTACGGCAGTGTGTTATGTCCCTAGAATCCTTAACCCCCAACCCAGCACTTGGCATATAACGGGTATTCAACTCAAATGTTGAAAGAATTAATTAAATATTCAGTGAGTGTATATCCCTAATCCTCTTTGCATCACTAGGGAGCCAAATCTCTTCCCTGGGCAAAACAGGGGTATTTTTCACATGCCATAACTTACTTTATTCACCAACTACCCCCTCCATGATTTTAAGAAACAAATGGAATCTTTAGCTAAAAGATTACATATATATTTGGATAAAAAGGGAATCTTTGGGTAAATAGTTTAGATTCTGAATGAAAATAGTAGCAAAGCATTTAAGGGACCAGTTTTATGAAAACCTGCTCCAAATATGTTCCAAATAATGCATATAAGTGTGAAGTAATATACATAAATCCACTTGATAATTTTCAAAAAAAAGTCATGCCTTACTTCCATGTTCATTCTATTAGTTATATTGCATTATGAAAGATTGGATTATTAATTGATTAATGCATTATTTATTTAGTTACTAGTAATCAAATGGGATGTGGGACAAAGAACCTCACAGTATTTATTTCCATATTAAGAGCTGAAGAATCCTGGGCTCCTTACTCTTGAAACTACCCTATACAGTAATTTCTGCATTTTTGTCAAAATGCTTTAAGATCTGCATGAGAGAGTGGTGAGTGATAGTTCAGAAACTGGCTGGCTGGATTACTTGGCTCACTTGGGGAAAATGCCTGGCATTCATTCTAAGTGGTGACTTCTGCACCATGGTCAATGGTTTATTCATCCCTAGTGCCCTCAGGATTTTTCTTTGAAGAACAAAAGCAGCAGATATAAAATTTAATGAATCATATTCTGTCTTATTGTTGAAAGGAGTAGTTCACTTAGGATGAAAAAAAGTGAAAACAATAATTGTTTGGCCCCATGTAGCAGAAACCCTCACTTCTCTCTTCATTTAAAGAGGGTCTATAAATGAGACACCTTCAAACACAAGAAAAATATTCCCACCCCCCTGTAAAGAACTGATGTTTTCCCCTTGCCCCTTAAATAACACCTAAAAAAATACACATAGTAGATTTTTCTGCATCAGTGCTCTGGAACAGTGGCCACTGCGATGGATTAGCTCCTATAGAATCTGACTTTTCATTGACACACTGAACAAACTGGACCAATCTCCTACTGTCTAAGTGGTAAATGCTATTTTATGAAGTCTCCATCCATTTCAAAATTAGATAAAACATACTACACAGAAGTTATTAGCAATCTGAAGGAAAGTATAGTCCTGTGGTATAACTCCACATTTCCCAAAAATTGCTTGCCTAATTGCCTCGAAGAAGCCTCAGACAGAGGTTAAACTGGACAAGACTTCTTATCACCTCAGAACTGGGTGTGGGAGCAGAAGCATGGAAGGAAAGTGTGGGAGGTGGTCCTTGATTTTTTCTGAGGTATAGGTGACATACAATATTGCATTAGTTTTAGGTGTACAACATAGTGATTCGACATTTACATACATCAGGAAATGCTCATCACAGTAAGTGTAGTTACCATCTGTTACTATGTGGTTATTACAATATTATTGACTATATTCCCTATGCTGTACATTACATCCCTGTGACTTATTTACTTTATACTGGGAAGTTTGTACCTCTTAGTCCCCTTCATCTAATTCACTCATCCCTCACTCTCCTCCCCCTTGACAACCACCAGTTTATTATCTGTATTTGCAAATCTGCTTCTGTTTTGTTTCATTTGTTTTGTTTTTTAAATTCTGCCAGATTTCAAACTATATGGAAAGTTCTAGTAATAAAAACAGTATGGTATTGGCACAAAAAATAGACATAGATGAATGAAACAGAATGGAGAGCCCAGAAATAAACCCACACTTTTATGGTCAATTGGTTTATGACAAAGGAGACTAGAACATATAGGGAGAAAGATAGTCTTTTTAATACACAGTTCTGGAAAAACTAGACAGCTACATGCAAAAGAATGGAACTGGACCACTTTCTTACACAATATAAAAAAATAAACTCAACTTGGATTAAAGACCTAAGCGTAGGACCTGAAATTGTAAACTAAAAGAAAACAGGTAGTAAACACTTGTACATAAGTGTTAGCAATATTTTTTTGTGTGTGTATGTCTCCCCAGACAAAGGCAACAAAATTAAAAACAAAAAATTGGACCTACATCAAACTAAAGAGCTTTTACACACTGAAGGAAACTATCAACAAAATGAAAAGGCAACCTACTGGATGGGAGAAGATATTTGCAAATTATGTATCTGATAAGGGTCAAATATCCAAAATATATAAAGAACTCATAAAACTTAACACCCACAACTCCCCCAAACAATTTGATTTTAAAAAAGTAATCCTTAAATTTTAACAGCAGAGCAGGAATCAGGAATCTAGTAACCTCTTCCTCCCCTCTCCCCATACCTCCTTTGTTTTTGGTCATAAAACCTGAAGCTTCAGGAGGATTTATTAATTTTTTATGTTCTCTTTCCTGGTCTTACTTATTTATGAGTGCTTCATAAATATTAAAGATGTGAGGGCAATCTGGCTGAAACATCTGCCACCTCATTGATTGCCAAGTTTGGCTGGGTGATATTACTCACCTTCTCTCCTCAATTTCTCTTACTGGGTCGTTTTGTGTATCTTGTGCTTGGTGAAAAGGAGTAACTTTCCCCAATACAGGAAGTCATTCCTTGGTTATTAAAGGTACTTAGGTAGTAGGTAGGCAATTAACAGTTGCCTGGGACTGAGGGGATTCCTGAAATTATTGCTAAAACCCATGAAGTCCCAGGCAAACTAGGATGAACTGGTCACCACACTAGATGCTATGCACCTGATTCACTAGCATGTCCAAACAACCTCCCAATTACTGATGGTAACATAATAACGATGATGTGTTGACACTCAGGATATTGTAAAGGTATGAAAACTGATCTTGAGAGACAACAAATGTCTTTAATGTCTTCCAATACTATCTCATCAATATATAGATGACATTAGAAGTTGGTGCTTAGACTAATTTCTACTTGAAAAAATATGAAGAAACATTAAACACATCATTATTAGTAATAAATGCATTACTACTGAAGAAATACATTCCCTGAAAGAAAATCCCTAAATGAGCCCTTAACTGTTTTCTCTAAAAAATAAGCATACAGATGATACCAGAAGACCTAAGATTCTGTTATTTCTGATGCTAACCAGAAGTGATTTATTTTGATGGGTGAATGCTTGCCTCTAGATATGATCACTGCCACAAATAAGTGCTACCATTAAAGGAATGTTTCTGGGTTTCCTTATGTCTGAGGCAGCTGGCGAGAGAAACTGGGCATGACTGGGCAGACTATCCTGTGGGTATCTTACCACATTTGTTTCATTGAAGAGGAGCATCGATGGTGGGTCTTCTTGACTTCAGATGCAGCTAAAGTATTTGGCATTATTGTGATCTAGATGTAGGTGAACATCAACCAGGAAGCCAGAATCATCTCTCCCAAAAGAAAGGAATGTATTTGGATGCACCCAATACTCCTATCAATATTGCTTCTTCATGTGTCTTTTAAAAAGTAAATAGAGGGCCAGGTAAAAGGCATCTTCTATGCTCTGTCTTGTGTTTCAGTAGATTAAATAGATTCACATCACCTCTAGGCAAACATCTGTGTGGATCAATAGCAATTTAAGGAAAACCGAGCAGATTTTTTTCATTTTCAGTTTCAATCCTTTAGTCCCTCTCTCCAGGGAGGTTCTTAGTGGGATGCCTGATCCCCTACTCAATAAACTCTCAGCTGGCAGTCCTTGGTGGGCACAGAAGTGAGGTTAGGCATTAAATCCCCCTAATCCGACATGATATCATTTGAATATATTTAATGACTGCAAAATAATATGCTTAAAGAGAACAAATATGATTAATTTTTAATTACACACTTGAAGACCTTTTCCCTCATCTCATGTTCCTTTTATATAGTTAATAAAATATCATTTATATACTATCTTATACTGGTTTCAAATGTACAACACAGTGGTTCAACAGTTACCCAAGCTATGGAAGTCCTCACCCCTTCCAGTGCAGCCACTGTCCATCAACGTAGAAAGATGTTACAGAATCATTAACTATAAAAAATATGGAATGGTTCATGAATTTGCGTGTTATCCTTGAGCAAGGGCTGTGCTAATCTTCTCTGTATTGTTCCAATTTTAGTATATATGCTGCCAAAGTGAACACTCATGGTTTCTTTTTAACCCAGAAAGGAATCTTTCTCTTTCTGTAACTCCAGGGAAAAATCCGGGGGCAAAATACCTCTAAAACCAAAATCAGTCAAAGGGAGAAATAAAGTTAAGCAACCAGTATATTTCTTACAAGCAGTCGTCCTCTCTCTCTCTTGACCAGGCTGCAGCAGCAGAGAGCTCCACCCAACTTCTCTGGTCCAGATAAACCCTTGCACGCCCTTGTAATCACCTATTGATAAGTAAATGGACTACCTCGCTCCACCCCTTGGAAACACGTATGGATAGGCAGATGCACTAAAGCCAAGTGAGAGATTTTAGAAATATTGCAATTTTATCCATACTCCCCAAATGCATACAGATTGTCATAGTACAACAAAAAATTATTATATTTTCGAAATAATCATTTTAAGATGATGTTTTATTCTATTGATATCAAAAGTGGTCCAATTTAAGGTTTAATATGACAGGAAGCCTGATAAAAAAGAAATTAATTGTAGGCAGTGGGTAAGGAACACATTGCCATTGTTAAATTATGGCTACACATGCTCTTAAAGGTAATTTGCACACATAGAGCAGAAATATTCCTTCTGTGTGTGTGTTGGGAGGAAGAAATTTCCTCTACCCCTGGAGGCTCTAGCTGGCTTGGGAATAAAACTGACATGAGACAGATTAATGGGAGAAATAAACAAAGTTTAATAAAGTTGTACGGGGAATCCATAGACATAGATTCCAGGGACACTCGGAGACAATGAGGTACTTATGCCATCCTCAACCAAGGAGAAGGGTGTAGGGGTCTGAAACTTCAAAGGAAAAAAAAAAGTAATTTACAAAAACAGGAAAGTGTAAATGTTTGGTAAACATATGTTTGCTGGGCTACACAGAAACAATGGGGCCCAGAGAGGAATTTTAACAGACTTAGCCACATCCCTCCTTATCTGCCACATCTACTTTACATTATAATCTATGATGATAGCTCTCTTCCTTCAGCAGGTCTTCTATCTAAATTCTTTCTCGGGTGGGTGGGAAGGTCAAACTTTCTTCCTGAGTGTTTTGGGCCTTGATTGTTTTCAGCTCTGAAATAATTTCATGTCTCAACGGCATATCTTGGGGAAGCTTGCTCTTGGCCCCTACATGCGCAAAGTGCCGATGAATGAGCACATCAGAGACATTAAATTTCTCCAACTGGAATATCACAAGGAGAACAATACAGTGGCAGCTGACCTGTTTACTAAAACTTAAGAAGAATGATATTTTATTCCCAGAAATGAAGCATGAAGGAAGGAAATTGTTAAATTGTTTAAGTTGATTTACCTCCTTGACATCTTCTATCCTGTTTATTGTTTCATCACACTAGTTTATTTTGGCTTGGGTTATATCTTCACTTAGCCCATGCACTATAACCTCCTCCTATGTTTCTTAGGCATGTCTTTCTTCTTTAAAATATGTATTTAATATAAAATATTATAAATATGCAGAATAAATAATGTGACTTTATCCTCTAGTTAGTGTTTATTATTATACTAATTGTATACATTTGTACTGTGGGGGGTTGAGTTTGTTCTCAGTTCTTGTCCCCACCACAACAAGATTGAAAGGCAGTATAACTCTGGGGGGAAAATCCTGGGGTAAAATACCTTTGAAACCAAAATCAGTCAAAGGCAGAAATAAAGTGGGAGAAACCCATTCATTGCTTTAGAACCCAAGCAGTCGTTCTGCATCTCTCTCGACCTGGCTACAGAAGAATAGAACCCCCCAACCTCTCTGGTCCAGATATGCTTGCTGTTCATCACCCACGTTCTTACCTATTGATATGAAGATGCACTAAAGCCAGGTGAAAGATTCTGGAAATACTGAAATTTTATCCATAGCCCACCCCTCCAGAAATCTCCCCTTACAATCTACATGTCCCCCATCTTCCTCAGTGACCCCAGAGGCCCAATATAGTCTATCTGCCACCTGACAGGGGTATTGCAGTGGGATTTGGGCTTTCATCACTCTAATTGCCTTACCCCCATAGCCATCTATCACAGCAGGGGTCCCACGAAAATGCCTAGGGTTGTCATAAATCAGAGAACATTCATCTCCTGTGCCCACCAGTGCAAGGACACACTGTACATTCACAGGGAACCAATGTTTTGCTTATTCTACATGAGGCCTCTGGTCCCCACCATGTCCCCCAAGGTGGGGACCTTGATCCTCCCCTCAGTTGAACCACGATGTCCAATTGTCATCCTGTTTGGGTGAGGGCCCAGGTGGAGCCTGAGTTCTGTCCCCAAGGAAGTCTTACAGGGACACAGGCCAGACATGGGGCTTTGCCTCCAGCTTCCATGTCCTGGGCCTCAGTGGCTGGAACTGCTGCTCTTACATTAATTGGTGCCACAGTTCTTACAAGATCCTATTAGGCTGCCCATCAAGTTTTTCTTTCACTACCCCAGCCTTTATCAAATCAAGCCACTTCTGAGTCCTTGAGAGTCCTTCACGGGACTCTTTGCTACTCTCCTTACAGTCGTAGCCTGTACTTCCTTCTGGGCTCTTATTGTTTCAACCTCCCCCAGATCTGCTAAAGTATGAGTAGCCTCACTTATGGGATGCCCTATGTGGGGGGCAAGAATAGTCACTAGGAACTCAAAGAGAAATGGAAAGCTGTATGGAGCACCAGATTTCTCATCCTACGGTGAACAACTCCTCATCAGGTCCCTGGGGATCCATATTATAGATGATATTTTTCATGCCCAGCCCCCATATCACCTGCTGGAGCTCTGCATACTTTTTCCAGCTAGTGGGTAAGTATGGTAAATCACCCCGATTAGGCCAAACTGCCCTGATGGCTGCTGTCAGCCAATCCAGAAATCTCCCCTTACAATCTACATGTCCCCCATCTTCCTCAGTGACCCCAGAGGCCCAATATAGTCTATCTGCCACCTGACAGGGGTATTGCAGGCCCTTTGCAACTGCTGCTGGATGGAAGGGTGAGTCATCAGGGAAGCCAGTCTATCCATTTTAGAACCCAACTTTACAATGCGTTACACTTCCATATCCCAAAGACGCAAAAGCCATGTATGCTGAAGTTCCGATGGCTTCTGCCGAAACTGGACGCTCATGCCCACCAGCTCATCCTGGCTATAAGGGCAGAGTATGGAGGGCTCCACAACCTTGGAGGGGGCAGCTCCTCCCCCTGAGGATCCTGTGGTTGTTGTGTTTCTAATTTCTCAAGTACAACCAGGTGGGCCTTTAATATAGAAGAGGCTGGTGTACAACCTGTCTTCTCAAGAACTGTCTCCCTTTCTTAAGAGCATCCCATTTGTTATTACCCAGCTCTTCTAGGTGATACTGAAGTATGTCTCTCTCCTGCCAAAGTCTCTCTCTCTCCTTGATAACACTTCCCACTCTCTTGACAAAAAGAGATCCTACAATTCCAGTTGCTACCCAGCAATTCAGGGCCTCTAAGCAGTATTCTATTCTATCTGATGGAGGGCTAGTACCACATCTTCCAGTGTCTCTACCCTTTCCCAGTTCTGAGGATGGTCCTACTCCTCTAGGAGGTGCTTTACCAATTTCCGACTAGGGGCTTCGGGAAGCCCCACAGATAGGGGGCTCCCAAGTAAAGTTGCACCCTCTACCACTACAGTTACTGGGGTCTCCCCACCACCCACAGTGGGGGTTCTGGGCATCTCCTCACCATCTCGAGAGGCAGCCTGCCCAAGCACCCATGTAGGCAGATTTCGGGTTCAGAGGTCCTAATGACTACTGCCAGATGTACCTCTAGGGGGAAAATTCTGGGGCAAAATACCTTTGAAAAGCAGAAAAGAACTTGCTTTTGGGCAACTGGTACCTGAGAGTCCTTATCAGGAGGGAAAAATCCTTATACCTGAAGATACTTGGTATACAGACAGCTCCAATCATGTGCAGTCTGAAAGTGGAGGGCTGTGGCTTTCCATTCTTAGATGAGACAATATTGATGGAGGATGGAGAGGAAAAGAGCAGCCAATGGACTGAGTTGCAGGCAGTATGGCTCATGATCACCCAGGAGCCCTCCCCTATAGTTGTCTGCACTGACAGCTGGGCCATCTATTGTGGCATGACCTTGTGGCTACCAACATGGTACCATGCCAACTGGATGGTTGGTCACCAGCCCCTTTGTAGGCAAGAGTTGTGGCAAGAACGATGGGCCTCTGGTCAGACTAAGACTATTACCATATATCATGTGACTGGCCAACTAAGACTGTTACCATATATCATGTATAGGGGCCGATACCACTGTCAGGTGGCAGATAGACTATATTGGGCCTCTGGCCATATCAGACGGATATCGTATGCCACGACTTGTGTGCACATGGCTACTGGACTATTGGTTGTTTTTCCTGTACTTTGTGCAGATCAGCAAACCACCAAGTGGGGCCTAGAGCATCTCTTTGCAGCCTATGGCCAACCATAGGTGATTGAGAGTGATCAAGGCACCCTTTACTGGACATGGTTTACAAGAATGGGTGCAGCAATTAGGAATAAAGTGGAAGTTTCATGTACTATATAACACTACTGGGGCAGGCATGATAGAGAGGTACAATGGTTTGTTGAAATCTGGCCTGAAGTCGGACACCAGTAGTCTACAGGGTCGGTCAGTTTGCTTATGGATAGTGCAACAGCATTTGAATGAAAAGCCCTGAAAAGGAGCCTTGAGTCCTGTGGATATGCTAACACACATTGATGCCTCTCCTATATAACTGTATGTGCAAATCAAAGAAAAGTTATTGAAGCCAGGATACAGCCATCAGAGCAAGATGCTGCTGCCAGCCCCATCTTCACTAAACCCTGGAGGCAGTGTTGAATGAATGTGGACCTGGACATTTTGAGACATGGAACAGCGATGGCACTTTCTGGCACCTTGGGGAAAAGGCCTGGAAGCTGGCCTCATGTGTATTCCTGGAGTAACAACACAGTGGCCCCCAAAGATCACAGTAGTGTACCCAGATCATCTGGGAGGTAAGAGCATCTTAT